TGCTACCAACAGGGCAATGCAATGATAGTGCTACCAACAGGGCAGTGCAATGATAGTGCTACCAACAGGGCAATGCAATGATAGTGCTACCAACAGGGCAATGCAATGATAGTGCTACCAACAGGGCAGTGCACGATTCGACTCGGGCAAGCACCAGTGATCGCTGTCCAAACAAAGATCTGATTGACACTTTGGGTTGAAGAGATGCAAAATGTGTGAGAACCTGAACAAACCAAACAACAAACACATTGTGAAAAAACAAGAAAAGAGAATCAATAAAAACTTTGTTTATTAAAAACAGCTTTATTGTTAGAGATACTTTCCATTTTGTGAAGATGCAGACTTGGTAGCTTAGTACCGGTACTTGTAAAGTATAGAGACCATCATAAACTTAATGAAATTATGATCAAGTAGGAACCATTTCAGCACTTTGCAGGAAAGTGGTTCAATAGAAACTAGATTCTCATTCCATAACACCATCTACATGTACATGTTTTATGACGGAGATAAATTTAGTTTCAATAAAATGACACTTGGGTTAAAGCGACAGAATGCAAGAAACTATTCATAAAACAAAAAAAGTTATTTGATTCTCTTGTGGTAAAATATCAAAATGTTCACATAAAAAAAGTAAAAGTAAAGTGGGATAGAAAATCAAGATTTCAAAAAAACAAAAACAAAAAAACAACAAAAACAGCATTACTTCCAAGTACCCAGTAGGTCATCCAGATGGGACTAGCAAGTCAGTAGGTCATCCAGATGGGACTAGCAAGTCAGTAGGTCATCCAGATGGGACTAGCAAGTCAGTAGGTTAGCCAGATGGGATTAGCCAGTCACTAGGTCAGCCAGATGGGTATAGCAAGTATTTAGTATGCCAGCCAGGTGGGACTAGTAAGTGCCCAGCAGGTCAGCTAGATGGGACTAGCAAGTCAGTAGGTCAGCCAGATGGGACTAGCAAGTCAGTAGGTTAGCCAGATGGGATTAGCCAGTCACTAGGTCAGCCAGATGGGTATAGCAAGTATTTAGTATGCCAGCCAGGTGGGACTAGTAAGTGTCCAGTAGGTCAGCTAGATGGGGCTAGATGGGACTAGCAAGTACTCAGTAGCTTAGCCAAATGGGATTAGCAAGTCAGTTTAGGTCAGCCAGGTGGGGGCTAGCAAGTCAGTATGTCAGCCAGGTGGGGCTAGCAAGTCAGTATGTCAGCCAGGTGGGGCTAGCAAGTCAGTATGTCAGCCAGGTGGGACTTGCGCCCCCCCCCACCCTCACATAAGGATCTTGGATTAAGTGGCTAATTATTTCGAGTTAAAAAAGATCTTTGAGCACAAGTCACCCTCTCTTTGCTTTTCATTATGGACACAGTCATCTTATCCACTGGTCAGTCTACTGAGCACACCTAGAAAAACAACAACCCTCGGACACTAAAGTAGTCAAGTGGTCAAACACAGAATGTGATCATCTTTGGTCAAATGAAACTCATCAAAAATGTATAAAGAACAGAACTGGAGTTATATCCTTGAACATCTTACTGTTAGCATGTGGGTGGTGTACATATCAGACTGTTAACACATTAGGTGGTGTAACAAAAATTCTAAAAATACATACAACATTTTTCACCAATCTTACATTTGTTTTAATTTTGCATCCAACCTATGGAGATACGAGAGAAGATTCAATAATTATTCACATATATTGACACATCATTGGGGGAGCTGTGGGAGGGGATATGAATACACAAACAGTAAATCTAGTTGACAGTCCCCATTAAATATCTTATCTATTCAAACAACAGAGGGGCTTGAACAGCTGCAGGACATTAATCAAGAAAGCGCCTCGATTATTATATAAAATTACTTATTTTGATTATGGTCTATCAAAAAACATGGCACTCCGGGTCTATCAACATGCATCAAACTCCAGGTCTATCGAAATCCATTCAGCTCAAGGTCTATCAAAGCATGAAGCCTCAGGTCTGTCAAAACCTGGAGCTCAAATGTCTATCTAATCATGGAGCTATGATGCAGTGCAAGAGTACGTCAACAGATTTAGTGACAGGCTTCTCATTGAAGCTAAATATTAAAACGTGTTCTTCAGCAAACGCCATCAAAACACATAGCACACAGCTATATGAATAACACATAGCACACAGCTATATGAATAACACATAGCACACAGCTATATGAATAACACATAGCACACAGCTATATGAATAACACATAGCACACAGCTATATGAATAACACATAGCCAATTAGCTTTAATATACACTGCTTTTTCAGATAAATTTTCAAGTTCCTTGGACTCAACAAGGAAATAAATGCTTAACAACAAAGAACATGTTGACTTAAATACGTCACAGTAATGGCTGTAAACATAAAACTCATACACAAATGTTACAACAAATGGAATCTAGTTAGTTTAAGATAGGCCGAGCGTATACCCTTGGAGAACTCGGTCATCCAATTTCACACATTTTACCACTCATGATTACATGTCCCACAAGCATTTCAACTTACCATTCATTAAATGATCACATATTCTGCAAGCATTTCAACTTACCATTCAGTGATTGATCACATGTCCCACAAGCATTTCAACTTACCATTCAGTAATTGATCACATATCCCACAAGCATTTCAACTTACCATTCAGTAATTGATCACATATTCTGCAAGCATTTCAACTTACCATTCAGTGATTGATCACATATCCCACAAGCATTTCAACTTACCATTAAGTGATTGATCACATATCCCACAAGCATTTCAACTTACCATTCATTAAATGATCACATATTCTGCAAGCATTTCAACTTACCATTCAGTAATTGATCACATATCCCACAAGCATTTCAACTTACCATTCAGTAATAATATTTGATCACATTTTCTCAATATACCAATCACCAATTGATCACATGTCCCACAAGCATTTCAACCTGGTGTTCACAGCATAGATAAACGCCACACATTTCTTACACGTTTTTATACCACATCTATAGCTGACAAGTTTTCCACTGGAGTCTGTGCCATGACAGTACTTCAACCCACATGGGTACCAGCCGATGCACGTACGGATCTCACAAGAGCAAGGCTTGGTGGCATCCTGGGAGTTGCGGCACTTGGGGTATTTGCTTGGGGGCACCTCAGACGTTGCCGAAATTAATGTTATATAGTCTTTGCCCAGTGCTGAAAATAGAAGCATGAGGGAAATTACAAGTAAGAGAATTTTAATTACAGTCAAATTAATTATTTAAGAATTTCAGATCAGTTTAAACTGAAAAATTAACAGAAGACAGCGCACTCCTCAGCAATGTTTCCCGTAAGCTGTGCACACATAAGGGGGCAAAGGTCAGCACACAGATGAAAAAGTTCTGAAAACAGTAGCCCACAAAAAATTTTTAAATTAATTTACAGGCTTTGCATTGTGCAAGAAACAACAATAGTTTTATCATATTTAAAAGAGAATAAAAAAATCGTACAGTATTATTTTCAGTATTTTAAGCATTAAGTATTAATTCTGTAAACAAATAAATAATGTATAAACTGTGTACTTTACACGCAGAGACTAGAAAAAATTAGAGGGAACATTGCTCATTGTATGAAGGCACATTGTCTGATAGATAAGAATTCTTACATTTAGAGATGGTCCTAAGATCCAGTTCTTGTGCATATGTTGCATCCTTGGCCTCACTGCAGATGTTGAAAGCATATGGGCTAATCACATAAGCCTTGTCAACATTGACCATCACATCCAGTATGTGGGTGGTCATCTCCATCTCTTCCTCAGGAGTCCTGATGGCGGTCGGATTTTTCTAAATGGAAGTGACCACATAATTGATGCATATATATTTAATATATTGATAGAGAAATCCCTGTTACTTGAATGATGCATATATATATTAAATATTGATACAGAACTTACTGTTACTTAAAGATATGTATATATTTAATTTATGAATATTGAAATTATGGCATCAGGTTTTGACTTCACAACTTTCATCCATTTATTTAAATATCAAGGTTCTTGGTCTAGTGTAAAACCTCTCAACACGCAGCCGAAACGTAATAAAATTTATCACATGGGTTCCTTGGGAAAAAAGCTTCTTAATCGTATATATATCAAATTCTACAACCCCTAGCCCAAATTCTATAACCCCTAGCCCAAATTCTATAACCCCTAGCCCAAATTCTACAACCCCTAGCCCAAATTCTACAACCCCTAGCCCAAATTCTACAACCCGTAGCCCAAATTATACAATTAAAATGAATATCCGTCAGTATAAAAAAAGCCATTCAATACAACAAATGAAACAAGCATCAGATAAATAGTTTATTTATTATAGTTTTTAGACAGAATAAGAAAGATAAAGTTTAGTCGTACAGCTACCCCACTATTTCACGTACAGCTACCCCACTATTTCACGTATAGCTACCCCACTATTTCACGTACAGTTACCCCACTATTTCACGTATAGCTACCCCACTATTTCACGTACAGCTACCCCACTATTTCACGTACAGCTACCCCACTATTTCACGTATAGCTACCCCACTATTTCACGTACAGCTACCCCACTATTTCACGTATAGCTACCCCACAATTTCATGTATAGCTACCCCACTATTTTACGCCACTTTAATTTATTAAAAAAAAAAGCTTCAAACCTGTCGCAGCTTTGACATGGCATCCGAAGAAATGAAGTCATTGCGCAGAAATCTTGTTATAAAACACACAGTTTGAGTCTGCGTCTGTCCCAGTTCTTCTTCACCCGACACATAAATTCTGAAGATTTGAACTTCCTGAAATCCATGTTGAAGTTGAAAGAATTTAATAAAACCCTACCACGGATATGCATACAATATTGGGGAAATAATTTCATAATTTGGCGGATGAATTATAAAATTGAATTTGTGGTGTAATTATCCGACATAAATTATATAATCTGTGTCAGGGCTTAAATCTTAGACACATTCATGGAGAAGTGATTGTCCCATAAACTATGTGGAGTTAAAAGGATGGATTTAGAATTGAAGGTATGGACATAGTTGTATCTACTGAACTCCTCATATTTATAAGGTAAATTTTGAGTTAACGGTAGGGGGTTTGCCAAGAGTTTTCTCACCCTAAGCGCAGTGACGTCACATTGGGGAATCCCAGTACTCCTCCCCAATTTAACAAGAAATATAAAATAAGAAAACAATAACTGGCATTATGTAAATACAATTTAATACAAACATCGAAATCTTTTTAGTATGGCGCTGTAGGTGGAAATGGAACTGGGAGGACCTCCGTGACCTATATACTAAATACTATACCGTGGAACACATCGTCGGCCTTACCGCTAACTCAAAACCAGCCCTATAGGCTATAGGGGGCCATCCATATAAACAAGAACACATATCCGGGGTGGCGGGCACAAATTTGTGAATAGTTTATAGTTGGCATTAAAATCAGCCAAAATATCAGGACTGACATTTATGGACAACTGAATTTAATGGGAATGGGCCTTATAGCCTACGTATTTTGGACATTTATTACTAATATTTATAATTATATACTTGACTATATATTGAGAATCATAAAATAAAGTGCAATATAGGCCTGATAACTAATATTATAAGCCCCTTTACAATTTACACTATACTATTTATTATATTAATTATTTGCTTAATTTTGTTAAATACTAATAATTTATAGAAAAGGTTTAAGTTTATTAACGTGGCTATAAAAATTACCATGAAATGTTGACATAAGTATAAGCAACAGTTAGTCCCATATACATATACGCTATTACTACCACTATAAAAGTTTGACTTACAGACTTGAAATCAATGAACTGCGTTACAAATGATCCATCAGAGCCAAGAAATTCAAGAGTCACAGTGTCATCTGTTGTGTTCGATATTATCTTTTCTACAATAGTCTCCCCACCTTTGTTTCTAACATTTACAACTAACTGACAATAACTCGATACTATTAGCAAGCAAAAATAAATCCATTTGTGCAAAAGTCTGTCACTGTCCATTTCAAATGGTCAAAATACTTTTAAACACAAATTATAATGTTTTTGGTTACGATTGATATGGTTACTCTTCAACCGAGAACTTTTATAGTTCCGACATTGACATGGAGTGAAAAATAACTAGCAAACTATGAAACAAACTATGAAACGTGAATAATTATTATCAGGCTTCAAATTTGTTAATTTTGCCTCAGGATTACATCAACATTAAATGTTTAAAATATTAAATGCACATATATAATGTAATACGATTTTTATTGTTCAAGTCTTAAAATTTTCGTAGTGGCTATTCGGACCCGGGTATCAGAAGTGAGAGGTTGGGTTTATAGTTTATTAAAAAAGAATTTAAAATATTATTGTAGGATTTGTAAGATAAAATTTGTTATCAAATGAAAGGTAATTGAATAGACTATATGTTTGTAAACGTACTTCTTCAGTTTAAACTAAAATAAACTACCACAAACGACATCCGAATGGCATTGGCATTGAGTCTAAAGGGACCTGGGTCCGAATAGCCACTTCGAAAATTAAATTTTCTTTCCACACAGAGAGAAAGATGGATTTATCACCAGAAAGAATCTTTTTAAGTTCTTTTAGCATGGTCTATTAAAAAAATCCAAACATAACCATATATTTAATAGTATTTATTATATAATAATTTACATTACTGCATAATACTTTAAATTTGGTACTTTCGGCTAATGTCATTACAAACAATACCATTTGTAATTTTATCTTTGATTTAAAAGAGCTTAAAAATTATGGCTTTATGTCATGGACACTACACTCCCTATTGCCCTTATAAGCCAACTTGATATTATGATTCCCCTACACACAGCCATTAATCTCAGCCCTTTTACACAGCTCAGCCCCTTTACACAGCCCCTTTACACAGACATTTATCTCACCCCTTTACACAGTCATCTATCTCACCCTTTACACGGCCATTTATATCACCCTTTTACACAGCCATCTATCTCCGTCCCTTTACACAGCCATTAATCTCCGCACCTTTACACACCCATTTATCTAAGCCCCTTTACGCATCTATTCATCTAAGCCCCTTTACACAGCCATATATCTCACCCCTTTACACAGCCATTTATCTTATCCCTTTACACTGCTATCTAATCACCCCTTTAAACCACTATTTATCTCACACCTTTACACAGCCATTTATCTCATCCCTTTACACAACTATCTATCACACACCTTTAAAACGCTATTTATCAATCTCACCCCTTTACACAGCCATTTATCTCAGCACTTTTACACCACCATTTATCTCACACCTTTACACAGCCATTAATCTCACACCTTTACACCACCATTTATCTCACACCTTTACACAGCCATTAATCTCACACCTTTACACAGCCATTAATCTCACACCTTTACACCACCATTTATCTCACACCTTTACACCACCATTTATCTCACACCTTTACACAGCCATTTATCTCACACCTTTACACCACCATTTATCTCACACCTTTACACAGCCATTTATCTCACACCTTTACACAGCCATTTATCTCACACCTTTACACAGCCATTTATCTCACACCTTTACACCACCATTTATCTCACACCTTTACACAGCCATTTATCTCACACCTTTACACCACCATTTATCTCACACCTTTACACAGCCATTTATCTCACACCTTTACACAGCCATTTATCTCACACCTTTACACAGCCATTTATCTCACACCTTTACACAGCCATTTATCTCATCCCTTTCCACATCAGGGTATCTCTGACTCTGCACATCAAGGTATCTCTGCCCTTATATACAAGGTATCTAAGCTCCTCTATAAAACAATTTTACCTAGCTCCTACTAACAGCCAGCTCTTCTAAACAGCTATTGTTAATATAAAATCAAGGGACATCATGAGAATAGACCATTCTTTCCCATTATGCATCCTTTCATTTCGTCCAGACACTACTTTAACTGATCAAAAAACATTGAACACTGTAGCTGTAAATAATTACATTTGATTTATTAATGACTCAACAATTACTTTCTGTTCACAGTTTATGAACGTCAAACTAATCGTTGTACTTGCTGTGTATACTTTGAAAAGATGGTCCTAAAACTATTTTCTTATTCACATTCTTTAATAAAGCGTTGGAATTTTAAAAATTATAAGAACTCAAGGGAACACCTTTCTGGAATAGTGTACAATCTATAGCAAAACTTTAATGTGGCTGTAAAACTTACTAGGAAAAGTTAACATAAGCCAAATATAGAAGATAATCTCGTATATATATTTAACTAAGCATGTAAAACGAGCTCAATGGCCTTGACCCAACACATTCCACTAATAGAAGAATGATTATGATTAATTAAGTACGTACAGAATTTCGTATTCAATTATTATTAATTCAAAATGTAAAGGAATTATGAACTAAAATGTGTCTGAAATGTTTTATTTTTGTGATCCAAGAAGGATAGCTTTTTTTTTTATAAGCTTGCGTCTTTATGTAATTATGATAAATAATAACATACCACCATATCTATTTATGGCCAGAAATAAAATTTGTATCAACTTTAATAACAAATTTATAAAGATCTTGATTATTTTGTTAGTTAACTTCATCAAATTAAACCCCCAAAAATCAATTATAAATGGAAATTATTTGTAACAATAAGCATGTTGGGAGATTAAATTAACTATGAGGCACAGAAGAAATTTTTCCACTGATGGATTAAATTAAACCAATAAACTAAAAAAAAAAAATCTAATTAATAAAGTTAAAGCATCTGGCATTGGACCTCTTCACATTCAAGTTCAAGTAACATTTTTTTTCTTCATGCTTTCAATAGAAATTTAAAAAAAAATTAACTCAATAAATTTTTTAATATTATTTTCTTTTATGTGTAAAAAGTTATCTTTTATTATTCAAACAATAATTCAAAATGACATTCACCGTCAAAATGACATTCTCCGTCAAAATGTAAGTTTTAGTTAAAGATCAAATCTGTTGCAAAAAAAAAGTCACCAGGAATGAACAAAAAATAAATGTACAAAGTTTCGTTCTTTGAATTTACAAAAAAACTTGTAAAGAAAAATATTATGTACACTGCAGGAAATAAAAAAAAATATCCAGCATGTTGCTTTCTTATTTGTGAATACCACAATAGGTGACTAGTTGGAGGAAAAGCCATTAAACTGTTTTTTTTAATCACGTCACTCTGGCTAAAGTAGGGCTGATTTGTTCTAATAATTATAGGCTTGAAATATGTCGTCAATAAATTCATGGTCTCATTCTTGAGTCCTTAAAGATTTCGCCCAGATACATTTATAGGTTTGATGTGTAAGGAGGGTCCTCAAAATAGGCCATTGTTGACTTGGTGTGACAAGGATAAAATACATAACCTTTGCATCCCAACACGGTTAAAATTTTTAGAATTTTGGTTTTTAACAATCAATAAAAAAACCCAAAAGGCTTGCATATAAACTAAAGGACTATCGATAGAACTGATCATTCACTAACAATTGCCTAATGACCACATGACAAGATCGCCAATTTTTGTCTGAGATATTATCCCAATTTTTAATGAATGATATAATTTATTTAAAAGTAATTATGAAATTTACAAAACAACCGAATTGATGTGGCCAACCTTTCTTAGGCGTGCGCTCCACCAACCTTTCTTTGGCGTGTGCCCACCAATTTTCTATTTAAGAAAAGATCTTTGATGAAAAACATGAGCTTTTATCTTAAAACTTACTGTAAACCTGGTTTTTCTTTGGGTGATTGAAATAATAGAAAAAATTGGTGACCTACGATGTAAATACTAGAGGGGAAATTTTGTTTCATAAATAACATCCTGGGTCAATGTTACAGAATTCTTACATTCATTTACCATATTTTTTGATGAGGAAAATTTCTTTGGTTTATTAAATTCATCCCATCAATAAATGATGGACAGAAGATTTACATGTTTTACTTAAGAAAATACATTTTTCCTCCAACTGCACAGTATCAATTTATGATCTTTTGGTTTCATCTAGTTTATGAAATTTGATTTCCTTTCGCTGCCTTGAAGATGTCTCTAGTTCTACTTGAATACAAGTTACTTAGGATCCAATACTCAGACAACTCGTGTCTTGACAATGTCACTACCCCTTAATCAGTGCCTTATTTAATGATGAAAAGGTTACTATAAGCAGAATTTATGCCCCACTCAGTTTAGAGTGATAGCAATACGATTAATTATGAATAAGGTTCTGATGACTCCTGATATATAGATCTAATCACTAATGAACTACACAACACCAAAAAAATTACAAAGTGAACTGCTTAAACCAAACAATGAATTATTGACCACATGATCGAAGATCTTACTTTACACGACCTTTGTTATAGATTTAATTCTATATGAAAATTAGGAGTTAGCCTTCCTAAGTCGGCACATGCGGGGGTTGATCCCTAGCTTTATTGATCTCATCGCCATGGCTCGGTTGAAATGCCTCTGTTGAGTTTTGGACCCATCTCCAACACTAGAGTCTTGAAAATTGGTTTCAATGGATGTGACGACTCCGAAAAGGACGCCCACCACCAGGAATAGGATAATAAACAGAGTCAGGTGTGTGACAGATGGACAGGGCTCAGAGTCCAAGTCACGAAGGTGTGACTTTGCGGGCTGGAAGCCAGGGTTTAGCATAAGAGCCTGGTTAAAATGCATTGCTGCTTCCTGTGGGTGGCCGTAAGACTTGAGTATTTCCCCAAGTGTGTAGTGTTGTAGCCAAGCATTCTGTCCCGACGGCTGGAGGTGAAGGGATCTCCGTGCCAGAAAAATGGCGTCATCAAGATACTGAAAATAAAAATAAAGCCAAATGTGAAATGGAAATAATTTTGTTGTTGAAATGATTAAAAAAATAAAACATTTCTTAGCACATGAATAAAAAAATAGAAACACATGCTTCATTAACTGACCTGTAAATTAAACAAAACCCGAGCCAAGTTCAAAAGTATATCTGGGTCGTCTGGTGATATGCTGAGAGCTTTGCGAAAACATTCAATGGATGTCTGTGTGTTGCCTTTGATTCGCCAGAAATTGCCAATAAGATTATAAACCTGTGCAGACTGTTGCCTCTGTGGAGAGATAGATTCAAGCAATTTACTGATGTTTGCATAGTAACTACTGGCTTCAACAGGGAATTACAAACTCATAGGATAGCGTCTTAACTAAATGATGGTATGTTTAAAATGAAAAATGTGCTGATGGGAATTTTCTTCAACAGTTTAATGGCAATTATAAAAGAGTTATTAAATGTTTTTTATTTTAAAAAGTGTAAATTAAATTTAAATTTAGTAAGCCATTATGGCGGCTTCTGTGGTTTTACATCCAACATAATGGGCCTCTACTAAAATTAATATTTTAAGTGCCAATCAGAAATTGTATGTGTTGTTTCTTTTACAAGGGGCATAACTCTAACAAACTTGTTTTTTTTTCCATCTTGCTCATTAATTTTTTAAAAATAGATAAAATATTAAATATTTAGGCTCAACCACTGGACTAGGGCGAGGGAATTATGGGAGAAGGGAGTAACGGAGAGCGAGAGAAAAGTGTGAGGTAGTTGGAGTAAGGGAGAGAGTGAGGTAGTTGGGGTAAGGGAGAGAGAGAGAGAAAGCAGTGTGAGGCAGTTAGAGTATGGGAGAGAGAGCAGTGTGAGGTATACATAATGTTTTAAGTATAAATGTTCACATGCTTTAACTTAACGAGACCATAGTTAAAGGGGAATAACTAATTAAACAAGAGACTATTAACAACTCAGTGAACATTTATGACATGTAAGCTTAACATTTCAGAATCATCATTTTTTAAAAAAATTTCGGAAATTACTTTCGCAAACAATAAAAGTTGAAATGAAAATTGTTACGCCACCAGATTTGATGAACAGAATAACATTTAAATATCCCTCATGATGCACCACCAACACGCAGCGTGATGAAAAGAAGATTTCTGTTTATCTTTTATTAAAAATGAACTTAATCGAATTAAATAACTCTGAGCCAAGAAATATGAAATTTTCGTTGACCACTGACTTACACACCCTGAACGACACAATCCAGGATTATAAGCAGCAAATCCTTTTTTTTTGTTGTTTAAATGTTTAGAGTATTAAGACTAAGCTTTGTTATGCCCTGAAAAACACACACACACATAAATACCCTAAAATCTATCACCCATTAAAAATAACATATTCCAAAATCAATGTTAAAGCTATGTAAATCTCATAAATAAATCTCATTAATAAATCTCATCAATACTTTTGACTATTCATTATAAATTCTAATTTTGGGCTCATGATGATTCAGAAATAAAATGTAAATATACAGCATGTTTCAACAAAAAATAAAACTATACGGCTTACTTGATTGGATATATCTTTCTCTATATCTCTTTTGGCTTTCCTTAATTTATTTTCAAGGTCATTCAGGTCAACCTCTGAAGATTTCCCGTTGTTCTGAAAGACCATCGCAACGTCAGGCTCCGGTATGTGAGAGTGTTGATGGCGCTCAGATATGCCTGAAAGTCCACAGAAAACAGTTCAAGAGAGACAAATAGCAGCGGTTGGAGAGAACAGGACTGTAGGCTTAAATTCATCTCCTTTAAAGATTTGTATTTATTCATGGCCATAAAGGGTCAGGGCCAGCAGTGTGCTGCCAATCAGGCAACATCTGGTTCAGTACTGGTCAGATTTTGGGGAGATTTTGGAATTTTTATATTGTTTATAGTATTTTGACATAAAAAAACAACAAAAAACAACCATTAGAATAGAGTCAGGTTACTTAACCGGTTCACCCAAACCGGCTCCAGCAACCAGCTGGTCAAGGGTGGTTACGTATGTCGGTTGCATCCACTCAGAGATAGCAACAAATTCCAGTACTAAATCAATACACTTGTTAAAATTAGGCACAATCATAAGTTGCATAATTGCCACAGGTGCAAAAATAGACTACTTTATAAATTAATTTTACAAATAAAAAAAAATTAAAGCGGTTAGTTTTATGACAACGAATGGAATAAGATGTCTCCGTCAACTTGTCGGGCATGTATCTTAATCAGCCAGTCAGTGTTGTCCCCTTTTGTAATTTTTGTTTCTTATTCAGCAAAGTGTTTCTCTGATCAAAGATTGTGCCTTATTCAGTCATCCAATGTGCCCCCAATGTACGGTTAAGATACACAGCTAAGTATTTAAACATGTGATTACTAATATGGCCAGGTAAGTAATTTCACTTTAAAAACGTAATGCCCGTGATCATTGAATAATTTAGAAAAACAAATCTTGTAGTGTCAGTACCGCAGTACCCCAGCGGACCTGACGTTTACTAAGCTTGACCATTTGAATCCAACTCACCTCGTAAATGATCGTACTGTGTTGAATTTACCCTCTTTCCACATGTCAACGGCCTCGGTTTGTTGGTTGATTTTTTCAAATCATTTTGTTCTAAATTTTGAGTATTTTTTGATGATCTTAGAGAAGAAAAAACAAAAGAACAATGAAAGCATTTCACAATGAAGTCTCTAAAAATAAATTATTATATTAATCAAAACTCATTATTTCATATTACAATAGAGTTTAAGCGGAAGGATTTTTTTTTTAAAATCACAAGCTAGAAATCTAAAAAAAAACAAAAACAAAAAAACAATTTAAGAATATATATCACACCATAAGATAAATATGCCTATTGTAGTATAATAAAGGAACTCTTCAAGCTTTTATACAACTGAATAGGAGAAATCTGGGAAAAAAATTCAAATCTATTTTGCTGTTTCAAACAGCAGAACATTTTCATACAAGAAATTTATATCATACCTTTAATTGATCTACTAAAGAAATGCATAGTAAAAATAAAAACGCAAATGAGGATGAAACTAGAAAAAAAAAAAATTTGATTTTTAAAAATTGCTTCCCTGAATTTAGGGATTTAGGCATTGAGGTCAAGGTCAATAAATAGTGGAACAAGATATATATTAAGGCTTGAAAATAAAAGACAAGACAATTAATCGGATGTTTCGGCTAGATGCCTACGGTTAAATAAAGTCAATTTAGCTCAATGTTCAGATAATGTTTTAGATCTATTATAACGTTAGTTTTATCTTTTAATTGAAATTGAATCTGTTGTTTATTGTATAGTATTGTCTGCTGAAGAAGACGCCTAGCAGAAACTTCTGCTTAAATGTCTTGGCTTATATTTGCAAGCCTAAGCATGACTTGTTCCACTATTTATTCCCTGAATTTAAAAAAAAAGACAATGAATGTGCCTCTGACAGGTATTTTTATTTTTCACCATCTAAACTGATTTTCTATGAACAAAAAAAAAAATCTTAAACAAACATCCCCACCCCCATGTTCAATTAACATTGTTCTATTTTAAATCTTATATTTTCAAACATTCTATTTACAAACTTTCCATTTTAAATCTTATATTTTCAAATGTTCTATTTTAAATCTTATATTTTCAAACATTCTATTTCAAATCTTATATTTTCAAACATTCTATTTTCAAAAATTCTATTTCAAATCTTATATTTTCAAACATTCTATTTTCAAAAATTCTATTTCAAATCTTATATTTTCAAACATTCTATTTTCAAACATTCTATTTCAAATCTTATATTTTCAAACATTCTATTTTCAAACATTCTATTTTAAATCTTATATTTTCAAACATTCTATTTTCAAACGTTCTATTTTAAATCTCATATTTTCAAACAATCTATTTTCAAACATTCTATTTTAAATCTTATATTTTCAAACATTCTATTTTCAAACGTTCTATTTTAAATCTCATATTTTCAAACAATCTATTTTCAAACATTCTATTTCAAATCTTATATTTTCAAACATTCTATTTTCAAACATTCTATTTCAAATGTTATATTTTCAAAAATTCTATTTCAAATCTTATATTTTCAAACATTCTATTTACAAACATTCTATTTCAAATCTTATATTTTCAAACATTCTATTTTCAAAAATTCTATTTCAAATCTTATATTTTCAAACATTCTATTTTCAAAAATTCTATTTCAAATCTTATATTTTCAAACATTCTATTTTCAAACATTCTATTTCAAATCTTATATTTTCAAACATTCTATTTTCAAACATTCTATTTCAAATCTTATATTTTCAAACATTCTATTTTCAAACATTCTATTTTAAATCTTATATTTTCAAACATTCTATTTTCAAACGTTCTATTTTAAATCTCATATTTTCAAACAATCTATTTTCAAACATTCTATTTTAAATCTTATATTTTCAAACATTCTATTTTCAAACATTCTATTTCAAATGTTATATTTTCAAACATTCTATTTTCGATCTTATATTTTCAAACATTCTATTTTCAAACATTCTATTTCAAATCTTATATTTTCAAACATTCTATTTACAAACATTCTATTTTAAATCTTATATTTTCAAACGTTCTATTTTAAATCTTATATTTTCAAACATTCTATTTTAAATCTTATATTTTCAAACATTCTATTTACAAACATTCTATTTTAAATCTTATATCTTATATTTTCAAACATTCTATTTACAAACATTCTATTTCAAATCTTATATTTTCAAACATTTTATTTTCAAAAATTCTATTTCAAATCTTATATTTTCAAACATTCTATTTTCAAACATTCTATTTTAAATCTTATATTTTCAAACATTCTATTTTCAAACGTTCTATTTTAAATCTCATATTTTCAAACAATCTATTTTCAAACATTCTATTTCAAATCTTATATTTTCAAACATTCTATTTTCAAACATTCTATTTCAAATGTTATATTTTCAAACATTCTATTTTCGATCTTATATTTTCAAACATTCTATTTTCAAAAATTCTATTTCAAATCTTATATTTTCAAACATTCTATTTACAAACATTCTATTTCAAATCTTATATTTTCAAACATTCTATTTTCAAAAATTCTATTTCAAATCTTATATTTTCAAACATTCTATTTTCAAAAATTCTATTTCAAATCTTATATTTTCAAACATTCTATTTTCAAACATTCTATTTCAAATCTTATATTTTCAAACATTCTATTTTCAAACATTCTATTTTAAATCTTATATTTTCAAACATTCTATTTTCAAACGTTCTATTTTAAATCTCATATTTTCAAACAATCTATTTTCAAACATTCTATTTCAAATCTTATATTTTCAAACATTCTATTTTCAAACATTCTATTTCAAATGTTATATTTTCAAACATTCTATTTTCGATCTTATATTTTCAAACATTCTATTTTCAAACATTCTATTTTAAATCTTATATTTTCAAACGTTCTATTTTAAATCTTATATTTTCAAACATTCTATTTTAAATCTTATATTTTCAAACATTCTATTTACAAACATTCTATTTTAAATCTTATATTTTCAAACATTCTATTTTCAAACATTCTATTTCAAATCTTATATTTTCAAACATTCTATTTTCAAACATTCTATTTTAAATCTTATATTTTCAAACATTCTATTTCAAATCTTATATTTTCAAACATTCTATTTTCAAACATTCTATTTCAAATCTTATATTTTCAAACATTCTATTTTCAAAAATTCTATTTCAAATCTTATATTTTCAAACATTCTATTTACAAACATTCTATTTCAAATCTTATATTTTCAAACATTTTATTTTCAAAAATTCTATTTCAAATCTTATATTTTCAAACATTCTATTTTCAAACATTCTATTTCAAATCTTATATTTTCAAACATTCTATTTTCAAAAATTCTATTTCAAATCTTATATTTTCAAACATTCTATTTACAAACATTCTATTTCAAATCTTATATTTTCAAACATTTTATTTTCAAAAATTCTATTTCAAATCTTATATTTTCAAACATTCTATTTTCAAACATTCTATTTCAAATCTTATATTTTCAAACATTCTATTTTCAAACATTCTATTTTAAATCTTATATTTTCAAACATTCTATTTTCAAACATTCTATTTTAAATCTCATATTTTCAAACAATCTATTTTCAAACATTCTATTTTCAAACATTCTATTTTAAATCTTACATTTTCAAACATTCTATTTTAAATCTTATATTTTCAAACATTCTATTTTAAATCTTACATTTTCAAACATTCTATTTTAAATCTTACATTTTCAAACATTCTATTTTAAGTCTTATATTTTCAAACATTCTATTTTAAAGCTACAAAATTTCCTAAGTTAAAAGATAAATATAGCTGTAACACAACAAAACAAAATACTGATCAAGTCAAACTTTTTGATATCATTGTCCAATGACAGATTTGAATAAACGCAATCAAATGTTCAATAAACAAGAAGAGAATATTTCACAACAATGAAAAAAAACGTTCGAACGAGCCTAGAAATGATGCGGGACTGGCTTGCTTCTGCTATTACCAATGTTATCCAATACTCTCCTCAACGTATTTGTTCTCTTTGCCGAACACTAAACACCTGTCACAACAAAACAGATACCGCACCGTCAGCACAGAGTGATGGATGGTAACAAACACTGTCATTATAGTTAATGTGCCTATGTGGTACAGCAAGTTGGTGGTTGAGACACCAGGAGTAAGTAAAATTGCCATTCTCACATAATATGTTATATTAAAGTACATAAATGATTCATCGTGTCATATTTCATATTATGGTTGGTGTGAAACGATCAAAGAGAATAATTTTTTTTTGGGTTGGGCAGTTCTTTAAAGTTGTTTTTTTGTTATGTGGAAACATTGTGGCCATTGAATGAAAGGTGATAATTTGTCTCCTTGAATAAATTAGGTCTTGCTATAGAGAAATGTGAAAAACTGATATGGACATAATGTAAATATAGTTAAATTTCTACATCTTATTCTCTTTAACAGTAGTCATAAATTCTCACAAAAATGACATGTTGTCTGGAGTTCAATCCCCAACAAAGCCATCCCAAGCACCCCAAGAGATTGGGTCCAAGTGCACAGAGATTGGGTCTTAGGTGCAAAGTGATTGGGGCTAGGTGCACAGAGATTGGGTCCTGGGTGCAGAGATTAGACCTAGGTGCCCATAGATTGGATCCTAGCTGCACAGAGATAAGGGTCCTAGGTGCACACCAGTATTCATCCCAGGAAGGACCCATCATACATAAACTGTCTTGCTAGTGACAGTTAACTTTTTAATCTCAGACTTATCCTCAATAATCTGTCACGTTATGTCACACCATGCATTTGTCATATGGCTGCACTGAAGAGCAAATTACTTATGTTTGGTCTTACTAGATTGGCAGATGATGGTCATCATTATGCCTTATGCATTTCAAAACAAAAAAACACTAATATACAGCTATTAATTTGGGCAACAACATGTTAGCAATAAACTACTAGTATTTTAACAAGGTAAATAAACAGCAGTTAACCCAATTAGATGTTGAAAAAAAAAACATATTTAAAGAATACAGTATTTATTAAAATTTAAAACTACCTAAATTTACTTCTAGCTTCTAGTTAGCATGTTTTTGCATTCAAAGGGCTGTTGACTTTCAACCCCCCCCTCTTCCACTATTTACAAAATTCAAAGGTGGAACAGCAAAACATTGTTTGGGGAAGATCTTTCATTTGTGTCTTGGTTGCACACCGTATTTAGTTCTCACTACTGGGAATAACAACAACCGTGCCGCAAATTTCCAGATAACCCAATGGTGGGCAGGTCTAGCGCAACGAGAAGTTTTTTTGTGTGCTAGACATGATGATTCTATGAGAAACTCAATGCATCTCTAGACTCTTTTAAAGTACTTAAAGGTGATTTTTATTAGAGCAACAGTTCTAATGATTAGAGAGTACTGCTGTGAGTCAGGTATAAAAAATAGAATGCAACAGCTGTTGAGCATCAACAATAAACAGCTGTTGCAATCAGCTGTTTACAGGGACTGGTGCAGAAAAATATATAATCCATACAAGCTGCTGATGGCCCGTCAATCAAATTAAAGCCGATGAATGAGGAGAACGTGGAGAACATAAACATTACAATAACATTCTTGAGTATAGAAGACTGCAGCATCAGTCCAACACTATTTTGTGAACAGTAAGATCAATGCTAAGGTATAAGGTGTCCCGGGCAGACGCAGAAACAGTTTTCATAGATATTTTTTTATAGTTCTCAAGTTTTTTCTCATTCTCCAGCTTAGCTGGCAGCAACCACCAGCGCAGGAAACACCATCAACTTCTTTAGTTTGTTTCTGTCCTGGTCTGTCTCACCCGTACCTAGACATTAGTATGAAACAAATTAGCGTGAAACCAATTTGTTCAGAGGAATTTTGTTGACCTGAAGTTGTTTCAAATGGAAGTTTGCTCGAACAGAACTTATGGACAATTATCAGTAACATTTTTAATTAAAAAGTTTACAGCTTCCCCATTTCTCGCTCACACCTTCCCTTAAAAAAAAACTTTAAACAAGTCATAATATTCTCTGTTGAACAAGTTTCATTTTGAAAAAAAAAAATTGCACAGAAATAACTGCAATTCAAACAACATTATGTCACACTAATTTCAGGTAACTGTTGTGTGCCCCCACCCCACAGCAACCCCCACTTACTTTAAAGTTCTGCTCAGTTAAATTAAAGTTCTTCCTATCTGATATTTCAGACCCCCGTTCCAGTTCAAATTCCTTTGCTATTATTTTATTATTCTGCGCAGCAAACAAAATTGTACACCTGTCTTCTTCTTCACACTCCTAACTTTGTCCTGAGATAAAAATGGTCTTAAAAGACGAGGCATCAAATTAATGAACATACTACTTACATATGAGCAAAGATGGTGAAATAACTATTTCACTTACTTATTAGAAACTTTGTCTTTTGGGTCTTTACATCTCTTGGGATGTTGTGTATTTGATTTTATATTCCCTATATTATTTTGCTGTGAGGATTTACAATCATGTCCAGTGACTCCCTCCCAATCATTTAAAACGCCAGCGATGTCCTCGTCTGGAGACGAAACAATCCATTCGCCGCCCGGCGCTGCCTTGTTGGCCAGTATTTCCATCATTCTCTCTTCCACAGTCATTTCACTGTCCTTGCTGTTCTCATCTGATGAGCTGCTGGCACTGTGATATTTGCCGCTTGTTTTGTTTGAGGACGAACCATTGTTGGTTTCCTGCTCGGCTTTTGCCGGCTCAACTTTACCTGGAATTTAAAAAACAAAACAATGCAGATACAATTTGCATGGTTTACAGTAGTAAATCAATTTTTAACATTAAGGTTTTTATAAACAAAGCATAAATATTTTTATTTAGTGCAGATGAAAGTTTTACTTTGGAAATGTTGATTAAGATAATCCACATTTGAACTTTTTAAACTCAGACTTATCCTCTGCATTTTTTGTGGAAGTTACAAAAAAATTAACCCATATAACTAGACTGGCCTTGCGTACCAGGATTTTCCAGTAATCCAGAACTTGGTGGTCAACGTTATAAAGCTAAAACTCTATTTGTCAAGACTGGTAAGTTCTAGTTTGCAATATGCCACATGCATTTTTAAAATGTTTAGATCAACTTACATAGTATTGGCTCAGCTGTATAGATAAATTCAAATGGACCTGGGTCCCTTTAGACTAAATAGCTATTAGGATGTCTATCGTGGTAGTTTATTTTAGTTAAAATACTTTTAAACTGAAGAAGTAAGTTTACAAACATATAGTCCATTCAATTATCTTTCATTTGATACCAAAATTTGGCCTCTCACTCTTTTTCAGCCCCTTTGTTGATAGTTTTTATTCTGAGACAAAATGATGATTTATGACTAATAAATAAATAATGACATAAGTCATAAGTTGAAGATTTATTTTTAAAAATAACTAAGAAATAAAGATGCTTTTCCATTTGCAATTTCATCAATTTCCTAAAATTATTTTCATTGATCTTTAAGTGAAAGTGTAGTTTGGTTGTGTACTGAGTACTGTGGTCCGTGGTATGTGAAGTATGTATGTGTGAGTGTGGCCAAAAAAGTTTGAAGTAAGTAAACTCTCCCTTTCTGTTCCAATCTCAACAAATCCAACTCTAGTTCTAGACATCCAGATCTAATTCTACTTAAGTTATTTTATAAAAAAATAAGGTTTTAAAAAGTTTATGTATATTTTTTTAAACCGTTCTCTTAGACTTTCTATTTTTAAGTCTCCCTCCTAGCCGTAGTCCATCGTTTTAGCTTAAATAAAGTAACTAAACTCTTCCGGGAGACGATATAACAAAATTTCCAAATCCCTGTGAGTGTGAAGAGTGAATTTCAATCTAAGAACTCTATTGATTCAATTTGAATTACAAAAATAAAGGTATAAATTATCAATAAAAAAAAAAAAAAAAAACGAACCTGCCGCAATGTTTAGTTTCCAATAATGAAAAAAACTGAATCTGCTATTGCTGTTAACAATATGCATTGAGATAACATAAAAAGCCATGTATGACATACATGGCAAGTCACATGCCATGATATAACCAGGGAAATAACACTATCTTTCAAGAATGAATCAATATAACTAATTTGAAGTAAATAAACTAGATCGAAGGACCAGTTTGTTGACAGGAGANTTTTCCGTTTTTTTTTTTATTTTTTTTTTTTTTTTTAAATATTTACTTAGCACAATTTCTGTTTTTAAATTTTACGAAATTAGCCCAGATTATTATTTAAAACATATTTTTTTTTTTTTCAATAATTAGAAAAGCACATTTTTTGTTCAAAAATAATAATTTCTGGCTTTTCGCTTGAAATTTTGGCTTGTTTTGGGACTATTGGAGGTGTGGTTGCTAGAAATGTTATTATATAATATTATAATTAGTAGGGACAGAAGATGGGTAAAAATGTTATATTTTTGCGTTATATTATATGTGCGCGGCCCCTAATTACCTTTATAATTATGAACATCTCGCAAAGTTATTATTTTTAAGCATACAGCCTAAATATTTTATATATATTTTTAGCGTTGGTATTTCAGAAAAATAAATGAAGGAATGCGTTCAAGCTGTGTTAAGGAAATAGTCACATATGTCACCCATGTAACTGCCACCAAACTGCTATCATATGTCACTAATGTAACTGCCACCAAACTGCTATCATATGTCACTAATGTAACTGCCACAAAACTGCTATCATATGTCACTAATGTAACTGCAACCAATCTGCTACTGTACCCGTACTGTTAGTGTCTGCACTTATTTTAACCGTGATAGTAAAAGAATAACATCTTATTTGATTCAAGATTGACCAAGATATTGGAAATATGTTCAGATTACACTGGACAGATTGATTTTCATCATACATACAACAACACTTTAAACAAATAATTCTTCAATGGTTTAAAAAAAAAAAATTGACAATATTAATCTAATTATTTAAGTACAATAGCCAAGCCACTGGGTGCCACAAGACCTCTATCGGTTAAGTCCATAGTTTAACCAAAGAGCAATCTGTCAGAATTTAACCAGCGTGCTTCCCCTTTTGTATAAAAACCCAGAGGCACTCAAACATTTTTGCTCACGGCACACTATACCATATGGTGGGTTCTCGCGGCACACTGACGTAAGCGTTGGCAGTTATATTAATATCTTTAATCGTCACTATCGCTTTGTCTCGGAAGCATATCTAGCTAATCTCGCGGAATACTGCCGTTCCGCGGCAACCCTTTGAGGACCACTGGTCTGAATCAAAACAAAACCGGAAGCACGCCTGTAAATTCGGAGATGTTTCCCCCCCCCCCCCTTTCGATTCTATCTATCTCCTTATTGGTCTAAATTAGTTGTGGTGAAGTGGGTGCTTAGTCGTGGTGAAGTGGGTGCTTAGTTGTGGTGAAGTGGGTGCTTAGTTGTGGTGAAGTGGGTGCTTA